GACAAGATATGGTCCATAGGCTGCTTTATTTTCTTACTTATTTCATAAGATGCTCTGAACTTCAAGAAACTCATCTTTTAGAAAATGGAGAAGATGAAGCCATTGTTATGCCAGGCACAGTGATTACAACCACTTTAGAGAAAGGTGAAATTGAGGAATCAGAGTATGTCCTTATCACAATGCATAGAAACAAAAGCAGTTTGCTCTTCAAGGAATCTGAAGAGACAAAAACTCCTCATTGTAACTGTAAATACTGCATTCATCCACTCCTTGGGCAGAATACAGAGAATGTGTCCCAACAAGAGAAAGAAGATACTCAAAATAATTCTAAGGAGTCACTAGGAATTTCAGATGAATGCTGAATGATTTCTCCTGACTGCCAAGAAGAAAATGCTGTTGATGTTAAACAGTATAAATTAAGAGCTTGTCTTGACACCAAGTTAGAAACTGTTGTTTGCACAGGATCTGCTCCAGCAGACAAACGTATATTGTCAGAGAAAGGCTCAGAGCCAACAGAGGAAACATGGCAGGGTAAGGAATTGCTGGATTCGGATAACCACCCAGGCAAAGCAATGAGAGCCACAGGAATAGTTGTGGAGAAAAAACCTCCTGATAAGACTATGCCTGCTGCGTTTTCTTATGATATAACCCAGACAAAGGTTACTTTCCTCATTGGAGATTCTATGTCACCTGATTCAGATACTGAACTAAGGAGTCAGGCAGTGGTGGATCAGATAACCAGGCATCACACCAAACCATTAAAGGAAGACAGAGGGCCTGTTGATAAGCATCAAGAAACTAAACAAACAACTAAGGACCAATCTGGAGAGTCTGACATACAGAACATGGTTTCTGGAGAGCCTGGTGAACTTACTTGTTGGAGTCATTCGGACCCAGAGAGCATGAGCTTATTTGATGAATATTTTAATGATGATTCAATTGAAACAAGGACTATTGATGATGTTCCAGTTAAAACAAGTACAGACAGTAAAGAACACTGCTCTATGTTAGAATTTTCAAAAAGATTGTGTACAAAAACTAACAAACAGAACAATGAATTTTGTAAATGTATAGAAACCATTCATCAAGATTCATGTAAAACCTGCTTTCCTCAGCAAGACCAAAGAGATACATACTCCATTCTTGTCCCCCATGGGGACAAAGATAGTGCAGAGAAAAAAAATGCTGTGGGAACAGAATGGGACATTCCAAGAAATGAAAGTTCAGATAGTGCCCTTGGGGATAGTGAAAGTGAAGATACAGGTCATGATATAACGAGACAAGTCAGCAGTTACTATGGAGGAGAGCAAGAAGACTGGGCAGAAGAGGATGAGATACCTTTTCCTGGGTAAGTAGAAAATTTTCACCTTACGATAGGCCCTATCTAAATATCTACCATTGTTTTATTTACCAGTTCTCTGGAGGTTGGTAGTAGCCCCCTGATATAAAAAAAGAGATCGTTGTCCTGGCAAAACTGTCTTTTTTATTATTATATGTTCTCACTGTTAGGAAGAAATAAAGTAGTCGAAGTTGTTAAAGGATCTTGTCGACATAGGCATTTTGGAGTGAATTGTGCTTCCAAAATGGACCTGTGTCAAGTCTGGCAGTCAGGGAGAGGTGATCACTGAGAAAGTAGGAAGTAGCTGTTACAAGTAAATTTGGCCAAGACTAAGTAGGATGAAAACAGAATATGCACTCTAAGTCAAGTATATAGTGTGACCAAAACACATGCTGAACATTTAATTTTTTAAAGAAGTCATACTGTCATAAATCTTCAGAATACTCCCCCTCATTTCAAACACATTTACATTCTTGTCACTTTCTGAAGCAGTTCTGGAAGTCCTTTGGGAGTATCTTTTGAGGCATGGTCAAAAATACAGTGAATGCTGCTGTCAAGTACCACCCAGTGGAAGGGCAGGCTCCTAAGGACACTATGGTGTGTCCTCATCTACCTTATTTACCAGATCTCACACCATGCGACTTCTGGCTCTTCCCCAGAGTCAAAATAATCATGAAAGGTAAATGGTTTGAGTCACTTGAGGACTTTGAGTTAGCTTAGCCATGACAGCACAACCAAAGACACTTATGAAAGAGGACTTCCAGAACTGAGAATAGCAAGAATAATGGGATGTGTTTGAAATGGAGTATTTTAAGGGAGATTAATGACAATTTATATTTTACTCTTAATAAATTTTTAAACATTACCATGTTTTTTGATCACAGCTTGTGAAAGGAGGAGAAGCTATGCTTAAGAAATGTTACCTACCTAGATCTAGACTTGTGACAGTTTTAGCTACTTTGTCATGGATGATTTTCATAATCCGATTGTATTGGAGGTGTGTTACGAACAATGGGACAGCTCCCCTAAAGTCTTTTAAGAAAGATTTACACTTTACTTGATTACAGAGTTGTTAAGCCTTTTTGTCCATCCAAGAAGTCGTATGTTTGAGCACTTGAGCCAGTTTTTATTCAAGGATGATTTTACACCATTTTGTAGAAAATAATGGAACTATAAATACAGACTAGTGCAGTTCAAAAAAAATTTTTTTAACTGGTAAAATGTTTATTATTAGTTAGATTTGCCGTTCTTGGGAATCTTTTTTCCAGATCAAAGTTAATTGAAGTGAGTGCTGTTCAGCCCAACATTGCCAATTTTGGGAGGTCCTTGCTGGGTGGCTACTGCTCATCGTACGTGCCTGACTTTGTTCTTCAAGGAATTGGGAGTGATGAGAGACTCCGCCAGTGTCTGGTATCAGATTTGTCTCATGCCGTGCAGGTGAGTGACCATCACTCTTCTTGAATTTATTCAGGATGAAGTCTGTTCACTAGCAGAACCCTGAATTACCTTGTGTTTTGATCACACATGACTGTGTAGCACAATCATTGTTCTCTGAATCCCTCCTTTTATGTATAGCACCTATATTTTTGTACCTGTCACTGTAAAAGCAAGTGTGGAGCTCCAGAAATCTATCAAAATGGAAATCTGAAATACAGAAAAAGTACAGTAGGTATTCATATAAGTACATTGACTAGATTATTTATAATATCAAAAACCTGGAAATGTTTAATTGCAAACGTGATTATTTTCTTAATTTTCTTTTCAGATTTATTGCTTTTTTTTTCTTCAGTACTGGGGATCAAACTCAGGACGTTGTGCTTGCCCAGTAGTTGCAGTGCCACTGAGCTACCTGCCCAGCCCTCAGATTTACTGCTTTTATATATAAAAGTATACTTGATTTTTGTATATTAATCTTGTAACCTATGACCTTTGTGAACTCTTATTAATTCTGTTGTTGTGTAGACTTTTTATGGTTTTCTACACAAGCATGTGTCATCAGTGAACAGTTTTATATATTTCTTTCCGTCTTGGTGCCCTTGTCTCTCCCCCTTTTCCTTTCTTTCTTTCCTTCCTTTCTTTTTCTTTTCAGTTTTGTTTTTTTCTTGTGTGGGTTTTGGTTTTTGGTTTTACCTGACTTTACCAGCTAGAAACTTCTGTATAATGTAGCATAGAAATGGTGGCAGTCCATGTCATTGTCTTATTCCTAGTCTTAGGGGAAAACATTCAGTGGTTCATTATTAAGTACATTTGTAGGGTTCTTACAGACACTTTACTAGACGGAAGAAGTTCAGTTCTATCCAGTCTCTGAGGTTTTTTTGCTTTTACTTTTCCCCTCATCATTTAAACCATGAATAGGTGTGGGATTTTGTCAAATTACTTTCTTTGTCTAGTGAGATGAGCATATGTTAATGTTATAGATTATGCTGATTGACTTTTAGAAGGTAAAACAACCTTTGCTTTCTTAGGGAAAAGTTGCAGTTGATCATGGTGTATAATTATTTTTATATTCAGTATTTTTTTGTGTGAGCACTGGGGATTGAACCACAGGCCTTCATACTGAACTTCGTCTCCAACTTGGCCCTTTTTGGTTTTTATTTTAAGAGAGGGTCTTGCTGAGTTGCCTAGGCTGGGTTCAAACTTGATATCCTCCCACCTCAGCCTTCCAGAATGTTAGGATCACAGGCGTGCACTACCACGCCCAGCTTGACTTATGCTAGTTTACTTTTGATGTTGAAGTATTTATCTGTAGTTTTTTGTAGAGCTTGGATAGGGTTATTACTACTGGCCTCAGAGAATGAGGTGAGAACTATTTCCTCCTCCTTAATTTTATGGAATGATTCTTAGAGAATTTTCAACTATTTTTTTCTCTTTGATAGAATTCACCAATGAAGCCATTTGGGCCTAGGCTTTTTAAAATGGGGATCTCTTAAAGTTGGAGATGTAGCTCTGTGGTAGATTGATTACAGTCTTCAACTACCCTCACTCCCAGCAGGATGTTTTAAACTGAAAATTCAGTTTCTTTATTTTGTATATGTCTATTTCCATTTTTTATTTCTTCTTGAGTTAGTTTTTGTGGTGTTGGGGATCAAACCCGAGGCTTCACACATGCTAGATAAGCACTGTACCACTGAACTATATTCTCAACCCAGTTTTGGTAATTTTTGTCTTTCTGGGAATTTGTCCCAATTACTAATTTTGATGGTCAAATTTACTTGAATAAACTTGCGCATAGTACACATTTATAATCCTTTAAGTTTCTACACGGCTACTAGTAATGCCCTGTGTTACAAATTTTGTTTTGTTATCTGTGTCTTTTTTGTTTGTTATTTCTCTGAAAAGTTGGGGCTTCTCCAAAGAGAGGTGTTTATTCATGGTAAAGTGGCTCTTCTTTTTGTAAATAAACACGACACAACCACAGCCATTTCTTTACATACTTTATGGGGTTTTGTCCTGCTTAACAGCAGAGTTGAATCATTGAGACAGGCATTTTAGACCTCAAAGCCTGAAAGATTTTCTGTTTAGCTCTTTAGAGAAATTTTTGGCAGGTTCACATTCTAGGTAAAGGTTTGCTACTTTTGTTGATCTTTTCCAAGGAATTTTTGTTTCCATTGATTTTTCTGTTTCATTAATTTCCACTGTAATTCTTTATTATTTCTTCCCTGCTGCTAGCTTTGGGTTTAATTTATTTTTCTAGTGCCTTAAGGTGGAAGCATATGTTAGTGAATATCATCCTTATAAATATGCAGAAATTTTAAGTTACATAGATCAGAAATGGCAAAACTGGAATTTATTGATCGGCCTGCTGCCAAGCCATTCTGTCTCTGAAACAGATAAGCAAAGATTAATACGAGCAGCAAAAGTAATATTAAAGAGTTTGCAGTACTAAGATTGTTGGCCCCAGGCCTGTTTACTCACTGTTTCTTTCTGTGACGGTAAGATAGAAGAGCTGTTTGTCCTCTGCTGTGTTTCAGTGACTGGGTTTGTAGTCTTTTCCTCTCATATTTTCATTTAATCTTATGGGTGTATTTATTATCAAAGCAACAGTAGAAAGTTTTAGAAAAATTAAAATAGTCCGATCAGCACTAACAGGTTGTGAGATATTTTTCATAGTTTTAGTCATTACATACTTAAATTTTATCATCATTACATTTAAAATGAGAATTATTTTTTGTGTCTTCATGGAAAAATATGTAGGAAACTTTTAATATGTGAATAACAGATACAGTACTTTTTTAAAAGATACACTGCATTAGGCACAGTGGTTCATGCCTTGTAATCCCATCTACTCAGAAAACTAAGGGAGGAAGACCTCAAGTTCAAGGCCAGCCTAGGACGTTTAGGGGAAAACCCATCTCAGGATGAAAACAGTTGGTAATGTTGCTCACAGGTAGATGCCCTGGGTAGGGTGTCTGTAGGAACCAGCCCATGGGCTCGAACCTCACCAAGGGGTGACAGGGATGAAAAGTAAAGAGACACAGAACCCAGGTTAAAATCTGGGGGGCCAGGAAGCTCGTGTCTCCCTTCGACATAGAGCCCCAAGTGACTGGCGCCCCTTGGCTTTATTCAGTGAGACACACGCTGGAGCAGTTAGGATCCCACAGGCCTCACCTGTCTCCGCCCTCCACGGTAATCCTCGTGTGAACACCTCAACCTCAGGTGTTCTTACTTCCCCTGCAGCGTGTGAGCACGCCTGCACGCCCTCTTCTCACTGCTCACAGAGGCAGCCAGTTAGGCCTCATTCTTCCCATCTGGTCTCACATAAGTGTCATTTTCTTTCCCCCCAATTCCTAAAGAAACAGCATTTTAAAAAACTACCAGATGATTCTGGGCATGGTGGTCCACACCTGTAATCCTAGCACTCAAGAGGCTGAGGCAGGAGGATCACTGTGAGTTCAAGGCCAGCCTGGGCTGCATAGTGAGTTCAAGGCCAGTCTGAACTACATGGTGAGACCTTGTTTTAAAACAAACTACCAAATTAAAATGTATTTATTATATAAAGTTTTGGAATATACAGAAAGCCAGACACAAGCTTTCTTAATTCTACAATACAATGGCAGCAATTTTTTAAAAATTTAAATTTATTGGTACAATTTAAATATACATAATCACTTTCATCATAGAGAATTTACCTGTTCATGGTATATCTTCATTCCTCTTTTTCTCCCAATTCCCTCCCCTCTGTTCAGTCTCCCCCTCATTTACAAAGCTTTGTATCAATTTTATCCTTTTCTTATTTTCTTTTCCCTTCCTTCTTTCCCACCTCCTACCTCCCCCCTTCCCAGTTCCCCTTTCCTTTTAAACAGTTTCTTCCTATTTCACATTATGTATTACCATATTTTGGCCCTTATTTACCCTTTCAGTTTCTTACACCAGGGAGAATGCGATATTTACACGTGTGTCCAGTTTATTTCACTTAAGAGTAAAGTGTCAAGTTGCAGCAGCCATTTTTAATATAAAGACTCACTCAGTGTCATTAGGCTTCTTACATAATCCATACTTGGCCACTTACTACTTATTCAGCATATATCCTAGCATAGAACACAGTTGTACCTCAGTTCACGAACTTAATTCTTTCCACGATTCAGGCCACAAGTCGAATTGGATGAGAATTGAATCATTCAATAGTTAGGTTCAATGTTGAGCTTATGGGGGAATTTGATCTAGAATTGTGGAAAGGATTAAGTTTGTGAACCAAGGCACCACTAAGTTTAGTATGAGGTTCTGTTTCTCTTGCTCTAATGAAAGTGACAATAATGCTTATGTATCAGTAATACTGTGTGTTATTTTGCATATCTTAGGCACAAGTACCTTGTACCTGTTTGTTGTCATTCTGTATATCTGTGTATGTGTATACATACAATATATGTATAAATAAGTGAGCCCTTACATTTATAAAAGGTATGCATATGTATCTGAATATGTATATCATTAAGACAGTTTATAAACATTTTTAGTGTTTATTGTTTATCCCATGACATTGTCATGGAGCAGTAGATAGCACTTTTCTCCTACTGCAAAAAAAAAAAATTTTTTTTTTTTTTTTTGAGATAGGGTTTGGTGGTGTTTCTCAGGCTGGCCTGAACCTCCTGAGCTCAGTACTAGAGGTGCAGACTACCATGCCCAGCTGGTTAATTTTTTTTCTCCTGGTCCTGGAAATTGAACTCAGTGCTATCACACTTAGCTACATCACCAGCCTTACTTACTTTATTTTATTTTAGTTGAGTTGAGTTGAGTTGTCCAGGCTGGTTTCAAACTTGGAATCCTCCTTCCTCACCCTCCCAGAGTACTGAGATTATACACATGCTCCGCTACCAGCAGCTTAACTTTTTAAGGAAGTTTTTCTGTCTCTTACTGTGATAAACAACACTGATGTAATTTCTACGTTCAATGAATTTAAGAGTATTTCTTTAGATTCCTCGAAGTAAAGTTATTGGCCATTTTTTAAAGTTAGAAATATTTGTGTGTGTGTGTGTGTGTGTGTGTGTGTGTGTGAGAGAGAGAGAGAGAGAGAGAACGTGCATGCACATGTTGTTTGCTTACTTGCCCAAAAGGCTAATTTGAATAGCCATTTGCAGTGTCCCTAAGACCTGATCCCTGCACAGCATTGGGGTTCTCTTTTTTTTAAAAATGCTCATATTGAGAGAAAATACTGAAGTTGATTTGGACTATTTTAATTTAAAGTGTATAATTTCTAAGGCTATGTTTTAATATACCTGGCAGGCAGTTGAAAAATCAGGGTTTGTAGCAGTGTGGAGATACAGCAGTATTCACAAGCAAGGAGGGGATATTTGAAGACTTAAGAGTTTAGGCAAGAGAAGAATTATATTTTAATCCTGTTTTATGAAACATAAATATGAAGTTTAAGGCTTCTCAAAGCATGAGAAATCTTCAGTGTGTCTTTTCAGGCTTATTACTGTTCTTTTCTTTCCCATTTCTCAGTAGCATTTCTCACAAATTTAGCCACATGAATTTACTATCTTTGAGCCTTCTCACGGAAGAGTCTGTGTTCTCTATTTTTCACCAGTAATTCTATCCTTATTTCAGTGTCCCTTCCACTGTGAAATACCCTGTCCTATAAATCCCGATACAATATCACATTCTTCTGTTTCCCTGGGACTGGGTTCCCGCCTCATCTGTTACTCATGTTTTTGTTTTATCTCATTTCATAACAAGTTTTTCTTTTGATCTCCTTCAAATAGTGACCTCTCCACTGTCTTCTGTCCAGGAAAGGGCTTTGTTCCCAGTTGTTCTTACTAACTGGCAAAAAGATATACTTTCGGACCGGGGATTTAGCTCAGTGGTTTTGCCGCCTTCTGCGCAAACGCAAGAACCCGAGTTTGATCCCCAGTACAAAAAAAAAAAAAAAGAAGATATACTTTGAAGAAGCCAAACAGACATATACAAGAGCAAACTGATATCCACAGTTGTCTAACTTCAGTAATGGTAAAATTGAGAGAGAAAAAGCCATGGGGTCTGAGTCTTCAGAATTGTAGTTTTACTGTCATTTTTGGTACTATTCCATTTGGCAGGAAATCCTTACCTTTGGAAATACAGAAAGATACTCAGGCGCTAAGCATTGTAAGCCCACTCTATCTCTCTCTCACGGTCAGGATTTATACTTGTCAGTTTTTATCTTTTGTGTAAACTATAGGGAGTGCAGACATGTGCCTGGTGGCCTTTTTATCGGTATATATGAGTTAAAATACTATTTTTCATTAGGCCTTAAATTTTTAAGTCATAAGAGTATCATACCTGTGATAAAAATTCAAATAATACCAAGATATACAGAATAAAATATACAAGTCCTTCTTTATACTCTTAATATTCCTACTTCTTTTTTTTGTGGTAAAGAGCATGATTTCAGTATTTTCATTTTCTTTTTCTTTTTTTTTTCCTTTGGCAGTAGATTGAACTCAGGGCCTTCACACTGAGCTATATTTTCAGTCTTTTTTAATGTTTTAAATTTTGAGACAGGGTCTCACTAAGTTGCCTAGGCTGGGCTCAAATTTGAAATCTTCCTGCCTCGGCTTCTCATACTGCTGGGATTACAGGCACGGATCACCATGTCTACCTTCATTCCTGTTTATTTGCTTTCACCTGTCAATCTGAATTTTTTAAAACACAACTGGGATATAGTTGTATGTGTATGTATAGTGACTTGGTTTTCATTTAACAGTGTATGTTGGAGAGGCATGTTAGGACATATTGATTTTCTCCTTTTAAATGCTGTATACAAACTCTGAATATAGGTCTTGCCAAAATGGAAAAATCTAGGGCATGTGTAAGGCCCTTCATGTCATTGCGGGATAGCCAGCCCCAGTGATGCTGAGACAGATGAATGCCTGACAGCACAGGCTCTTACCCTTGACTTGTGTGTATGAATATTCTGTCTTACTTCTTTTCAGTTTAACTCTTTTGATCTAAAAAACATTTTCTTCTACTTGCTTGGCACACATTTGCACTCAGTGGTATGTAAAATGAATGAATGATCAACAGACTTGTGAAAGAATGTTCTGTGTTGAAGAACAAAGTTTTAGTAATGAATACAAAGTTTCTACCGATGATGATTTTTGTGTGGTATCTCAGATTGTCTGTTATTGAGTTAATTATTTCATTTTCCTCTGCCAAGGATTCTCTGGCAGTAGCTGTAGGAATGTAATATCCAGGTTTTTTGTTGACGGGGTTTTGGTGGTGCTGAGATCAAACCCAGGCGAGTATACTAACATTGAACTATACATCACCAGCCCTTAGAACTTACTACCTTTTTTTCTGCTTTGGTTTACTCTTTGTTGCCTCCTTGCCTTTGGATTATATTTGAAAACTTTGTTATAAGTTGAATTCTTTTCTTTTTAGCATCCAGTTTTGGATGAACCAATAGCAGAAGCTGTCTGTATTATAGCTGATATGGATAAATGGACTGTCCAAGTGGCTAGCAGCCAGAGACGAGTGACAGATAATAAGCTGGGAAAAGAAGTGTTGGTGTCCAGTCTTGTTTCCAACCTGCTTCATTCCACTCTTCAGCTTTATAAGCATAACTTGTCTCCAAATTTTGTAAGTATATGTAAGGCTTAACTTACTTTAAGCATTCGGCTAGATGGTTAAACTCTGCTTAATATATGTGTGTACAGAATAATGCTGCTAGTTTCATCATTTTTCTTTGTTTGCTTTGAGACAGGGTCTCACTATGTAGTACAGGCTGGCCTTGAACTTGCAGTGATCCTCCTGTCTCAGCCTCCCAAGTGCTAGGATTACTGGTGTGCAACCCCACACCATCATTGTTCTTTGAAAAACCATGTTATGAACTAAATATTTGTTATGCATCTTCAGTCCCTACTGCTATAGCATTTGGACCTGGGGATTGGGGGAAGTAATTAAGGTTAGATTAGGTCTTAAAGGTGGAGCTGCATGATGGGATTATGGCCTAATAAGGAATAGAGAGTGAGATTGTTCTATCTCTACCCTGTAAGGACACAACACACTTGCAGCTGTCCACCAGGCAGGAAGAGAGCCCTCAGCTAGAATCCAACAGTGTTTGTACACTTGATCTTGAACTTCCAGTTTCTAGAACTCTGAGAAAATAAATCTTTGCTCTTGAACCCACTCGGTCTTGGTATTACGTCCCACTGAGCTATGACTGAAAGGAACGTGTACATATCTATATACTCTGATTTCAGCACCAAGATGGTTGAGTGCATACAGTGTGGTCCTGCAGAATTTCTAACTTCATGTAAAATACCAGTGCATTCTGAACCCTCAGTGTCATGTCACCAGTTCGGACAGTCCATCTTTGCAATACTGATAACATCTTTTGAATGACATCATTTCAACTTTGAGGGTTCTTTCTCTTAGAATTATAAAATAGCATAGTTTAGAAACTCTGTGAGTCAACATGATGAAGTCCATCTATGACAAACCCATAGCTAACTTCATAGTCAATGGGGAAAGACTGAAAAGCTTTCCCCTAAGGTAAAGAATGAGACCACTTCTATTCAGCATGGTACTTGAAGTCCTGGCCAGGGGGATTAGGCTAGGAAAAGAAACAAATGACTTCAAAATTTGAGAGAAAGATATAAAATTAACTATTTGCAGATGATATCTTACATGGAAAAGATAAGATTCCACAAAAAGCTACAGGAACTAATATACAAATTAAGCAAATTTTCAGGATATAAGACCTGCAAAAGTAAGTTGTATTCTTATATACTAGCAGTGAACTATCCAAAAAGAAAATTTACAGAAAGAATTCCACTTACAATAGCATGAAAAGGAATAAATTACTTAGAAAAGCAGGGTGTGGTGGTACACGCCTGTAATCCTAGCACTCTGGGAGACTGACTCAGGAGGATTGCAAGTTGGATCCCAACCTAGGCAATTTAATGATTTAGGAAGACCCTGTCTCAAAGTTAAAAAAAAAAAAAAATAGAAGAGGGTTGGAGATGTAACACAAAGGCCCTGGCTTCCACCTCTAGTGCTAAAAATAAAAAATAATAAATTACTAGATATAAATTTATCCAATGAGGCAAAAGACTTACAAACTAAAAACTGTAAAACATTGCTAAAAGAAATTCACCGAAAACATGAGTGGAAACACACCCCATGTTCATAGATTGGAAGACTTAATATTGTTAGGATGAAATTACTATCCAAAGTGCAGATTGAATGTAGTCCTTATCAGTATGCCAATCGCATTTTTTTTTTCAGAAACAGAAAAATACATCTTAAAATTCATATGGAATTTCAGAGGCCTCAGAGAGCCAGACAGACTTAAAGGAAAAACAACAGTGGAAGTCTTAACATTCCCATGCACTTTCCAACTCAGTCTAGGGCAACTTAGCAAGATCCTGTCTCAAAGTAAAAAATAAAAAGAAAGGGCTGATGATATAGCTCAGTGTGAAGACCTTGAGTTCAGCCCCTAGTACTGGGGGAGAGGGCGCGGGGGGCGGCGGCAGTGGAATAGAACGGAAAGCCCCAAAGTAAACTCTCATATGTCAAGTTAATTAACTTTATCAGGGGTGCCAAAACCATTCAACACAGAAAGAAGTAATTTTCAACAAAAGATGTTAGGAAAACTAGACACCCATAGGCAAAATAATGAAGTTGAGCCTTCACTTTATGTTGTATATAAAAATGAACTCAAAATTAGTCAAAGACCCAGACTTAAGGCTAAAACATAAAACTCCTACACGAAAACACAGAGGAGAATAATCTTCCTGACAGTTTTAATGAAAATGATTTCTTAACTGTAACACGCAAAACACAGGTAACAAAAGCAAGAAAGAGATGACTTGGACTTCCTCAAAATTAAAAACTTTTATTAAAACTGTCCACAAAGCGAAAAAGCAATCCAGAGAATAGGAGAAAATATTTTTAAATTGTATGTCTGGAAAGGGATTGATATCTAGAATACAGTCATGTGCTGCAGATGATATTTTAATGGATGATGGACTGCACATATCATTGTGGGTCCATAAGATTATAATGGAGCTGAAAAATTCCTTTTGCCTAGTGATGTAGTCATCTTTAAAAATGATAGTGCAAAAATTAAATCATAGTTCAGTCCTTTATTCACGTTTGTAGTAACATCGATACAGACAAAATGTGCAGTACCAGTTAGATGAAAGTGTAGCACATATGTTAATATAGTAATACTTGCTAATGAGAATAAATGATTATGTTGCTAGACTATTATTTACTATACTTTTTATCATTATTTTAAATGTACTCCTAGTTTTAAGAAGTTTACTGTAAAATGGTGCTATGCTGATAGCAGCCTTCCATTTACTGTATTCTTTGATTGTATCCAAAGGCCCTATCAAGTGATTCACCTGTACCAGTGATGGCAAACCTTCTCTAGACCAAGTACCTAAACTGCAAATCCAAAACCCATTTATTACAAAGTGGCAACATTACAATTAAACCCGAAATCTGAGGTTTCAGTTTAGAAAAAACAACTGTTATCTGATGCTTGGTTGCTGGGGCAACTTGGCTCGCGTGCCCACTGTGGCTTGCATTCCATAGGTTCACCACCACTGACTTATACTGTGTAGATTTGTGTGTATACACTGTATGATGTTTGCACAATTGTGAAATCACTTAAAGATTCTCTTAGGACATATTCCTGTTGTTAAGTGATGCACAATTGTATATAAAGAACTACAACTAAACAAAAAGCAAACAATAGAATTTTAAAAAGGGCAAAGCACTTGAATACACTTTTATACCAAAGAAAATACACTAATGGCCATTAAGCACATGAAAATATAATCAGCATTGGGCCAGGAATGTAGCTCAGCGGTGCAGCATCTCCCTGGCAAGTGCCAAGTCCCTGAGTTCAATTTCCAGAAATAAATAAAATAAATATATTGAGCACCATTAATCATTAGAGAAATGCAAATAAAACTACAGTAAGATGCCATTTCATGCTGTCTGTGATGAGGGAATATGGTAAAGCTCACTCATAGGATGGCTGTAACTCAAAACAGTAATTATTTTCAAGGAGTGGACAAATTAGAGCCCTGGTGCATTGGTGATAGGAACATGAAGTGGTTCAGGTGATGTGGGTGACAATTTGGCATTTCCTCAAAAGGTTTAACGTAAAAAAAAAAAAGGTTTAACGTAGCACATACTACTATATCATGTTAGGAATTCTACTTCTATATTTATACTTAAGACTGGAACAGAGGCTGGGCATGGTGGTATATGTCTGTAATCCCAGCGCTCAGGAGGCTGAGGCAGGAGGACTGTGCAAGTTGGAGGCCAGCCTGGGCTACAGAGTGAGTTGAAGGCCACCCTGGAATATAGTGACCTTGTCTCAAAAAACAAAGGACTAGAACAAGTAATTGTATCCTAATGTTCATAGCAGGATAATTCACAATAATCAAAAGTTAGAAATACATTAACCTGTTTATATGAGCAAATGAATGGATAAACAATGTAGTATAATGCATACAATGCAATATATATTCAGTCATAAGAAGAAATAAAATACATGCTACAGTATGGACTAACCTCAGAAACATCCTTAATGCTTGAAACCAGGCATAAAAGGACAAATAAGAATTTACTTTTATTATTTTTATTTTTTTTGGTACGGGGGATCAAACTCAGGTCCTTGCACTTGCGTAGCAGGCGGCAAAACCACTGAGCTAAATCCCCAGCCCAAGAATTTACTGTTTTAACACTTGAAACTGATGTGTTTTCCTCAAATATATGGCATCAAATTACATGAAAAGATTGAGCAAATTAGTTGAAAATAAGTCAAATGTAGGTGTTTTAATTATTTTATTTACCTTTTCATGATTATGAACTACTGCAACCTGTTTTTACTCTTTAGTAAATACATTTGAGCAAATCAATTTAAGTGAATGTTACATTTATAAATTTGGAGTAGAAACATTTTTCTGCTGTTTTTTGAGGCAGGGTCTTACTGTATAGTTCAAGCTGGACTTGAACTCACTATGTAGTCCAGGCTGGTCTTGAACTCAGCCTCCTGAGTGCCGAGGTTACAGGTGCGCACCACCACGCCCAGCTGAGAAAATTTTTTTTTAAATTTCTGGAAATGATGATTGGTGATGATTGCACAACTGGAATGTACTTAATGCCACTGAATTGTACATTTTCAAATAGTTAAAGTGATCTGAGTATAGTGGTGCGTGCCTGTAATCTCAGTAGTCTGGGAGGAAGAGGCAGGACAATGGAAAATTGAAGCCCAACTTAAAGATTTAGCAGTACATTGTCTCAAAAAAAAAGGCTAGGGAAAGATGCAAAAGCCCTGAGTGTTGAATATGTGTACTATGAAAACAAAGAAAAGTAAAGTTAAAATAGTACATTTATGATATATATTACAGTTTTAAAAAACCATAGTAGCTAATCTTCGGTACAAGCCCAAAACAAATTTACACTGTTATTTGAGCTAAAACCACATATTTAATGTGTTCCCAATTTTAGTTCATGTTGGATTGGAATAACTAAATATACTGTCAAAAACTCGATGCTTTAAAATTTGGCATCACTCGAGAGTTGAAACCTGTTTTTTGACCTAGTTCTTGGCCCTTTCTTAACTGCAGTGTGTAATGCACCTTGAAGACCGGTTGCAGGAGCTGTACTTCAAGAGCAAAATGCTGTCTGAGTACCTGAGGGGTCAGATGCGTGTTCATGTCAAGGAGCTGGGAGTGGTTCTTGGGTACGTTCGTGGTTTCTTTTCCGGCTTTGCTTTCCCATCATTCTGTCTTTGTTTGTTTGTTTTTGGTACCGGGGATCGAACTCGGGTCCTTGTACTTGCGCAGGAGGTGGCGAAACCGCTGAGCTAAATCCCCGGCCCAAGTGTCTTTTTCTAATAGAAGCTAGATAGACTCAAAATTTGGGTTACTGTGTACCATACAAAAGCACATTTCCTGTTATTCATTGGTCTGAAAGGCATCCCTTGTGCCATTACATATAGTATGTTGTGAATTAGTCTGGATGAATTCTAAAAATCTCATTTTTATTTTAGGAAAAGTAAGAAAATACTCATTCATTATTAAATATGTTATAAACTCAATATTCCAAGCATCTTGCTTGCCTTTCAGATGAGGTGAAGTAACAGCAATCTGTGTGTGGTAGTACTTTATCTACGTCTTACTATTCCTCAGCATTAATTATATTTTATGTCTACTCTGCTATTATTGTTACTTTTTTGTTTTGTTTTTTGTTTTTTTTTTTGAGTTGGGGTCTTGTTACATAGTGCAGCCTGGCCTTGAACTCACTGTGTAGCCCAGGCTGGCCTTCAACTCATGGCACTCCTCGCGTCTCAGCTTCCTGAGTGCTAGGATTACAGCCATGCACCACCATGCACAGCTTCTGCTATTAATTTTTGGAAGAAAATATCCAAAATGCTACGCAGAAAAGGAACAGGAAGTTGATGGAGGACAAAGTATAACCCTATTTCAGTATGATCTATAATCACTTTTGTTACCTATTTTGTGTATGTTTCAGTCATGTCTTGAAATGCTAGTTGGAAGAACTGAAATAGAATTGTTATCTAATCTCTTTTTATGAGAGAGAGAGAGGAGAAGGAGAGAGAGAGACAGACAGACAGACCGGGAATTAAGCCCATAGTCTGGCACATGCTAAGTGCTGTACTACTGAGCTACATCTCCAGACATTTTTTCCTTTTTTAAATTTTTATTTTGAGGGGCCGGGGATTTAGCTCAGTGATTCCGCCGCCTGCCTTGCAAGCGCAGGGACCCGAGTTCGATCCCCCGTACCATTAAAATAAAAAATAAAAAAATTTATTTTGAGACAAAGTCTTGCAAAGTTGCTTAGGCTGGCTTTGAACTTCTGATCTTCCTGCCTCAGCCTCCTGAGTAACTGGGATATATGGGTATGCTACCATGCCTAGCGCATTGTATATTTCATAGTTTCTATTTATTTGCTACTAAAAACAATGCTGGAATGAATAGAAGTCTTCTTTGTAGGATAAATTCCTACAAAGTAGAATTTTTAGTGAAACAGCATGCCTATTGATACATGAAATATTTGATACAGATAAATATTTTGATAGTTAATTCTGCATGCCATCCAGAAATCTTTGAAAGCTTCTAGCTGAAAAGTGACATTTGATTTTATATTACTTTAAATATGACTTAAACCTGAGAAACTTTCACTATGTTCTTTGGCCATTTTGTTTTTCCCATAAATTATTTATGGTAAGATGTATCTTTAGAAACATCCAGCACTTCTTTCAGTATATTGTACAATAGAAACATATTTAGCCAAAACAATCTGCATATACACTATTGTTTTATTATTATACTAGATGGTACAATCATACCTTGGTACTCAGCTGCTTTGAAACTCATTGAATTTGGTACTTGACACATTTTGATGCAAACACTTTGTCCTGGTTCTTACAGTTTGTTGATTACTTGATCTGCAAACTTGAACGTGTCAATGTTGATTGCTTCGTGACTTGCTACCCTTTCCAGCCAAAACAATTTATTGTTTTGGTACTCATCACTTTTGGTACTCATCCTGCTTCCTAGAGCCAATTAACAATGAGTACCAAGGTCCTAATGTAATTTCCTAATACATTTTGCTTTGCCTAATACATGGTCTGTCAACAGATGACTGGGATACTTTCCTGCATCCATGAACTTCGTTACCCTTAAGCTTAGCAGAAGCATTCCTTTCTTTTAAATCTGTGGTTCTAGGTTCTACTTAGTGAAAAATTTCTGACTTTTGTTATGTTCAGCTCTCTTACCTTTTGGCTAGGGTGACACCTTAACTACTGGGTATAGTGACATTATAGGTAGTGGTCACTCCCGGTAGGAGTACAGAAAGCTGAACTGAGTTTTCTTTATTTCAGGATTGAATCCAGTGATCTTCCTCTTCTGGCTGCTGTAGCAAGCACTCATTCTCCATATGTGGCTCAGATACTCCTGTAACATGCCTAAAGGTTA